CCTTTCCGAACTACATCCCTGAATAGGTATCCTGCGTTTGAAGACGAGTGGATATCTTCAGCTTGCAGTGAAGTACACTGGGGCTGGCGATCTACACAGGAATTACGGACTCGTAAGGGAAGTGAACATGTTTTGAATGAAGGGAAAAGAAGGTGAACCACTCCGGTCAACACGTAGAATAGTTAGTCCAATTGTGCATGCACACATTTTCGAGAATATTTACCTGGTGAAGCTGACAAAAATACCAATGTTATCCTTTCGCTACCAGGTCCTTCAGTGTCCCCAACCAACCAATTACGAGTAAATAGAATTAACCACTACCGTGCGTGGGTTTCTTTTGTATATCGTTCTCATTGGACTGGTTGACTGCTTAGTTGAACAACAAAAATCTGTCGCTCATATTCTGCTATTTACTTTTCAAAGGTTTTACGAATGGAAAACAATCGATGGAAAAAAACAGCCATACTTTGTTTACATGGATGGTATGCTTTCTGTTTTGTACTGCGACCCTGCGCGCTTATCGTTTTATTCAACAGACCCCCAGAGATTGTTAATGATGGCTGGTGTATACTCGTTTAACCAAGCGAAACGGGTAAGAGGGTCTCTTCGTTTCATTTATCCGTCTTGTTTCAAGGTGTTTTCCTATTCTGTAATCACTACAGATGCCAAGGGTATCATGACCGAAGTACATCATCGAATGCCGGTATACATGGCTATTGGTTTGATTGATCGATTACCCCGAAACATCTTCAGGTTGTATTGACCACGGATGAAGAAGTATGCACATGGTTGAATATCAACTCGATCCCTGCGGAAAAGGTCAGATGTGCATTGTTCATATTTCTCGCTTGAGCTTTTCCAACTCAAACCAGCGTTTGCTTTGATATTTTTTTCAAAGTCGCTTTGGTTCGATTATCTGACACAGATATTCGTCCATCCCTTGACCTCATTCTCAAAACCAAGGTTACGGAATTCCATCTCCGAACGGTATCAAGTTCTCACTGCTTTGAGTCATCACACTAAGATATAATAAATATCTGTTGGATCTCACCTTTCTTGTTTTCTTAGTGTCAGGGGAAACCTTGTTTTTCATGAAACTTCCCACCGAAGCATGTTAAGTGGGTTTGAACTAACTGCCACCTTGGGAAACTACACACACACACACACACATATATATATATATATATATATATATATATATATATATCACCAAGTCTGATGTCATACTGTGTGTCGAACACATCACAGTACAATAATCTTTACAAAAAGAAAAACCTCTCTAGAGTTATCTGTAAGCGAAATACTGCTAGGTTGCCCAGCTGAATTTTCTTAGGGAGTTCACAACGGAGGGCTTCCGCTAGGCAAAACCTGACCCGCAANTGGGCAGTGTGCAAGCATCGCAATCCATTGGGAACCGGTGTCCAGTTTATCTGATTATATACCCTTCGGACGGCGCCAAACGTCAAAGGTGCCCAATACACCTCGACGCTTATTTGAGCCGGTGACTACTACCACAACCAGAAAAATGTGGGTGTGTGGTTCGGACACTTCTTCTTGGTCGGTTTAAAATAAGGTTTTCAGCCAACTGTAGTTGTTTTCTTGATGCAAAATCGAAGGTAACAGACGGAATAATGCAATTGGCTTAGTTCGTTCCCTCTGTCGATGCTTTTGTGTTTTTCATTCGGGAAAAATAAAGACTATGTACAAACCTATGATTATAGCACACTTTTTCATTATTGAAGATTTTTTTTCGGCGCTTCCAATAGACGCTCGCACTGTTTTATATTTGTCTCTTCACTGGAGTGTTTGAGATATTTCTAGCGGGACAAGATTCAGTGATCGGCTGACAGATGAAAACAGTTAGTCACAGCAGAATACTATGAACTGGCTTCTGGTAATCTCTGTCCAGCTCATTCCATACAAAATAAATATGAATTTATGAAATGCACACCCAGTATGCTCATCAGTAAGCCGGGAAATAAATTAAACCATCATGGTCAGCACTCCGAGTGCCCGTTCTAAATGTACGTAGAAATCTCTTCTGGTGATTTGACCTGGAAAAGCTTGACAATCAAAATACCACTGCGGTCGGTTTGCTATAAAGTAAAGAGACCAATCACAGGCTCTTTATTCCTACACCCTTCTCTCGGAAGAGAAAAGAGCCCTAGTGAACCTTCACGTACAGTTATATCTATCTGCGTCTTTTCCGCGTCATTTGTTAACCTCTAAGCGGTATACCCACCTTGGATGGACAGATAGTAACGTGTGATTTGTAGCCCGCCTAGAAATAACGCATATACACGTATATATTCATCCCCCTGTTCTATATTTGACCCTTATCCTCATAGATAAATACAGAAGTCATACTGCGTTGCGGATAAAACTTTTGGGTGAATAATGTTTGTCCACTTTTTCATGTATTTTTCGGTTTTGTGTCCTGTTTTTTTTACTGAAATTTAGCTATACCTGCCTACGAGTCTTTCAGTACAATGCAATACATCCTTTCTCAGTGTAAAGCACCAGATTGTAACACTTGGATGTATATATAACTATGATCATTATATCAT